TGGCTGTAGTGGAACCTGGCAAACCCATAGAATGACATACTTCATTATATTTAAAACAAGTATAAGTAACTTTCAGCTAAATTTGGATTGGATATTAAAAATTGTAGAGTGCAAGCATTTGATAATGCATTCAATATGTCCAAGCAGTACTCAGGTCTACAGACATGTATCAACATACTATGTTCTACAAACATGTAGAACATAGTTCAAATGCGGTTAATATTCCTTGCACCAGTCACTCTCTAAATTTAGTATGAATGATGCGATTAAATAGTTTATGCTTGTACAGAAGTTTATTCAATTTTTGTTCTGCGTCAACCCATCGCTAGTGAATTTTAAATAAAAGTCTGGAATGGAGTAAATATGCAATATTGGTAAAAAAAAAAAAAAGTTTCAGATCCACAATGGTCAGCAAGAGCAGATGCCATATGAGCTATAAGATTTGGTTATATACATATAAAAGAGGTCCTGGCTAAAATCTGTGATACGAATAATGAAAAAAAAGACCACAATACTGGAGGCAGGTTACCTTTTGAAACAAATGGACAAGTATGAAACTTCCCTAACAATTGTGATTTGGAATACCATACTCCGAAGGATAAATGTAACTTAGCAAATCATTGCAATCAGTTGAGTATGAATTATTAAAAGGATTTAGTCTACTAAAATCTCCAGAAAATTATATCCAAAATTTCATAAGTGAATGGAAAAGGGGAACAACATGCAACTCATTTATCAAGGCTCTCATTTGAAGAGGAAGCTGGATAAGATCACAGGCAGCCAAAATATTATTTTCGGTGAAAGTAAAGAAGTCGATCATGAATTCGAAAGAAGGAAAATTAATTCATTTTATGTCATATGCGATAGGACAAGAGCAGAACTATTCCAAAGAACTGAGATATATGAAAGTGCTATAGAACACTTTACTGTATTTTTTTACGAGATATTATTACTTTAAATTAAGAAGAAAGTTATACAAAAACTAAAGGATATTTAAAAAGATTAATTTTAATTTTGATGATGAACTGGATCAGTTTTTACTATACTATTTTTAAAAGAAAACAAAGATATAGTGAAAACCCAACTAGAAATTTATCGAGTTGGAAGAGAATTGGCCTCTAAAAATTATTTAAGAAGTACTATGAAAGAAGACAAACTGAATATTACATGGCTATATTATATATAGAACAAAAGGTTTTGGACAAAATAGATATGGCAAAAATAACTAATGAATTTGCCAAAGAGAAATTGAGACGTGAAGTTATATAGCAAAATTGCAGGCTCTTTAGTAAGGTTGTTAATTTTTTTTAAATACAATAAATATTTTTTTGAGCCGTTGAGTTTATTTAAACATATTTATATACATTTTATTTTGAGAATTTAAGGCCAGTGAATCTTTTCACAATCTTAGTTTTTCGACTCTTGAGCCCATGTGTCAGGGGCCTCCAACTAGTTTAATCCGCCTCTGGGTACCTTTGGTGATAAATTCTATAATTTTTTTCATTATTATTTAAATCTGTGGTTTCAAACTGTAGTCTCCAACGGAATTTTATGCAGTCCATGAAGATATTTTAATTACATATTTGTTGCAAGTACAGTGTTACTAGAAATGTCATTCAAAGATCTAAAGATACAGATTTTATTCATTTTTATTTCTACTTCTTAAAAAAAAAAGAAGCTCGGTTATGAATTTTCATACTAAGAATAATCACTTTCTTTAGAAATACATTTACATGTTAAAAGCTTTTCTTCACAGTGGAAAATTAATAAGAAAAGATCCTGACTGACCGATGAAACATCAACAATCCATAATAAAGATAATTTCTAGCAATTTCTGTCCAACATTATAAACTTTACAAGAATAGAATCAATATCAAGCTATATTATTAGAGTGATACTTTTGTTAAGAAATAAAGAAGTTTATAAACATTTACATACAAACATATGTATCCATGCATTGAAGATAAGTTTAATAAATAAGAGAGAATAGATTGCCATTATTTACTCTCAAATTTTGTCTCCTCTGAAAAACTAGAATGTTTCCATAATTTTTTTAAACATGTTAGAATCATTTGAAAGAAATGTCAGTCTAAGAATTCGATATTTAGCTGTATAACCTAACGCTAAATGGCAACAGTCAAGAAAAATTGAAACATCTAACATCTGAACCGTTAGTTAAAAAAGATTCGACAGATTTTTGCATGGACATAACCTTTTCTCTTATCCAAGAGTAATTGCTTTATGTTACCTGTATTACTTTTGACATGTAATTCTTCCATGTAGTGTTTTTTCTTATAATTATAATTCTTTCTTATTTGCTTGGTTAAATGTAAAGTTTACATGGCCCTCTGGTTATAAACTAGCGCCCAATGTAGGGCCTAAGCCTAAAAAATTTAAAACTTATTACCGAAAGCGGAGCGCAATTTTTTTCTTCGAGCTCTTCCTGCATTAAAAGAAGAAAATTACCACCCTGGTGATATGGAAAATTTTGATTTTTGATGATCTGGAAATTAACAGCCATCCTAGGAGTGAAGGATTAATCCAATGTCCTTGCATTTATTGTAAAGCAATCATGCAGTAAGTAGGAATTGTATTTTATATAAAGTTAAATTGATTATGATAGTTTAACATAGAGTGAAAGCATGTTTAATTTCCTAAATAAAAAGAAATAATATTTGAGAATAAAAAAGAAATGGATCAACAGAAGGAAATGACTGAAAATATGTCATTAAAAGTCAAAGCTACTGGAACGGATGAACCAAAGAATAAATGTGGAAATTCTCCAGATCCTAAATTCAATCGTATAAGTCTCAGTTATCATTGGTTAGAGAAGAAACCTAAAACTCTATTTGAAAAACCCGCAAAGAAATGGAGCGATTCATCAGAGGCTTGGAAGAAGAAAAATAAGACCTTGATGATGAAGTGGAGGAAACGGTTTAAAAACTGAAAGGCTCTAGTTCTACAACAGATGATTGTTCTAGTGAACTTTTTAATACTCTCATAGAATTAGGAGAAATTAAAAAAAAAAATTCTAATTTAGAAAAGGGAAAATGAGTGGCTCAAAAATGTGTTGCATCGAGTGCAGACGTCTAGCAAAAGTAATGAAGATAAACAAAATAGTAATTCCATGGATACCGTCAAGTTGTCTTCGAACTATTCTGAGATTTTCAAAATTTTTAATTTCAAAGTTCCTTTTACGGTATGATAGATCTGATATTGTGATTTGGAAGGGAGAAAGCTTACGTTTAGAATTCGAGAGTCGCTTCAAACCAGGGGGAGATCCAACCCGATATAATGAACTTTTCAAGAACTGATTCTATGTTAAGTGAATCATTCCGATTCAGTGATGTTTCAGGGAATCATCCCGATTCAGTGATGTTTCAGGGAATCATCCCGATTCAGTGATATTTTAGGGAATCATCCCGATTCAGTGGAAGTTTTAGGGAATCATCCTGATTCCATGTTAAATGAACCATCCCGATTCAGTGAAGTTTTAGGGAATCATCCTGATTCCATGGTAAATGAATCATCTCGATTCAGTGAAGTTTTAGCGAATCATCCTGATTCCATGTTAAATGAATCATAACGATTCTGTGAAGTTTGAGTGGAATAACTCTGATTCCATGTTAAATGAATCATCCCGATTCATTGATGTTTTGGAGAATCATCCTGATTCTGTGCAGTTAAATCAATCATTTCAAACTCGTCATCAAAAGATTCCCGGTTACTCTTCATAGAGATGAATGTGAAATATCGTGTGGACTCTTCGCCAAGACGTCATCAGAGCCCGAGGGGGAGTCTACAACCTAAAGCTAAATGGCAACAGTCAACAAAAATTGAAACATCTAACATCTGAACCGTTAGTTAAAAAAGATTCGATAGATTTTTGCATGGACATAACCTTTTCTCTTATCCAAGAGTAATTGCTTTATGTTACCTGTATTACTTTTGACATGTAATTCTTCCATGTAGTGTTTTTTCTTATAATTATAATTCTTTCTTATTTGCTTGGTTAAATGTAAAGTTTACATAGCCCTCTGGTTATAGCTGTCAGTATAATTGAATGAATTATAACACATAACCAACAAAAATGTCTTACAAGTACCAAACTTACATTTGAGATAAAAAAAATAATTTGAATTCCTCCCCCTCCCCTTAGCAATATTATTATTGTTGTTTAAGTATGTTTGACAAATACAGTAAGAAAATTTTAAATTTACTAATTGCCCATAAAATTTTCAATTTTGTTGCCCACATTCAATTTCACTTTGAGACCATTGAATAAAATGATTAGCTGCTAACGTGGAGAAAAATAGCAAATAAAATTATGTATTAATAATATGAATAATGAAAAAAAAAGGCAAATGCAAATGACTAACTTCAAAAATGACGTTTTTATTGAGGAGGTGACATTTTAGTAAGGCTTATCTGTTTCTTACCTGAAGATTTTACTTTAGTAGTTAAACAGTACATTAAAAATGGAAAGCAAATAACTAACAGAATTTGCCATAGGTGAAATCAGAAGATACAGCTAGAGATTAACAAAATACCAAATTACAAGGGTTAACCAAAATCTCATTGGGGATGTTTTGTTACCAAAACTTTATCATCAAGAAAATGTGATAAGGGATATCCAATAAGTATCAAATAAACTAATGAAATCTCACAATAATAAACTTTAAACAACTTACTCCAGAAAAAGATTTAGAAGTGATAGTAATAATGCAAGTGCAGAGCTAAGAGTATGTATGAAACATTACGGTGTTGTTAGATTAAAGGAAAAGTAATATAAATAATAAACACGTATTTCACCCAAACCCCCAGTGATTCATATGAGAAATGTTGCACTGAAAACAATTTACAAATGATTAATAAAATAAAACAACAGTTTGGGGAAGGATAGATCAAGATTCTACTGTATACAGAAAAAAAGGGTGGAAGTTTCAGTGTACACAGCCATACAAACAAATATAAAATGTGTGATAACGGAATTTCTTTACCATGATGCATCCAGAGACAGTAACTCAATTCCTCTCTGCAACATAGGTTTGAACCTCAAAGTCAATGGGAAAGGTACTTTAGCTAAAAAATAAAATACAGAAATGAGCAACGGGTTGATAATAAAACTGAAAAAGAATGCTTACAGTAAACAGGATTAAACATAAAACTCAGATAGATATGAATTACTTACTAAAGCTATTATTTTATAAATTAATTGCAGGCATTATTAAAACTTTTGAACATTAATGAATGCCATAAATAGATGCCATACTTACTGGTGACAAAGCCTGAAAATGTCCAATTAATCCATCCACCGATCACAATCATAGGAAGGACATTAGTAAAATTGCCTTTTACCATGTCTGTCATAACACTTGGATCGGTCATAGGATTCTGAGCTGGAGGATTACGCTTTTGGGTTTTGAAATAGCCAACATCTTCATTATTAAAGTAATGCTTCCGTAACAAAAATGCCTGTAAGTTCGAGTAAATATATATTTTGAACTTATCAAAATGAAAAGATGACTTCCAGAAATTAAAATATTTACATTATATGGAAACAAAAATCAACTTCATCCAAAATATCATAATTATCTTTGTTTCAGATCTATTAAACTAGTTCTTCTGAGGCACTGGCCAAGGCTGTCTCAATCAGTCTACGCCATCTGGACCTATTCATGGCAATACTCCTCCAGTCTCCCCTATGTATGATATTAATGTCATCCTCAACATTAAACTAGTTAAAAGGTTTAAATAAGCATATTTCAAGTACAACTGCAAGCAATGAAGCTGTTTTAAAAAATGTCAAATACGTCAAAGGTATAATTACATAATATCAAGCATATAATAAAAGGTATTACTACATAATATCAAGGTATATCAAAGGTATAATTACATAATATCATATTCTTGATTACATGCAATATCAATTACATATAATCAAGAATAATTTTTGGTCAATCACAATTGGTTCAACCTCTTTCTTTACTTGGGCACTGTTTAGAGGATTGCTCCAAAAGTTGTGGATGCTTAATATTGCACTTATTTGGTGAACGCAATTCCGTGATAAACCTATAAAGATAATCCATGTTGATCTTTGTTATTTTGAATACAACTAATAAACAAATGTTTGCTTGCTTGCTATAGAAGTTGAATTACACTGTACTTAACAATGTTGGACAGAAGTCTCTTCAGAATAATGCAATATATGAGCTATACTGGAAACTTTATAAAAAATTCAGATGGTCTTTAGACCATTCTCCTCACAGGCCAGATCTCATAAGAATTAAGAGGACAGAAGTATGAGTTGCTACATCCACTATCTTGCACTATCACTCGGAAAAAGATATCCACTTTGTGTTTGAGAATTTAACACACATATCAAAATGGTGTACAGAATATGAGTGTCAATGGTTTACTTGCACATTATGCCATTGACCGTCAAAACTGGCTAACATCGAACCATGAAAGTTACCAGAGATCTAGCCAAAGTCACGACATGTGGAATTCTGAGACACCTCTTTAAAAAAACAATTAGTATTCGAACCATTTCATTTTTGTGCTTCATAAAAAGGCGTTCATTGATTTCTACTATTTTCTCAGGCCCTCCAGTTTTACTGAAAGCTCTCTTTAGACTGCTATGAGCAAACGTTCCCTCTATCAGCCACTATAAGCAAAGTTCCCACTGTCATTTCCAGTCTATTATTACTTTGTTGGCCATATTCAATCAACTATATTGTATCCATTAATACACACTATTTTATGACACAATCATGTGACTTTGAAAATAATCTACTGCTTGTTGTTCTGGAAAATACAGGTTCCAAAATTTAATCATTTTCTTCTTTCCAAAATGTGAGAAAAAATAGGGCAATAACAGTTAATTTATATTTTAGTTTATACAAAAAAAGATGGTTTATTGAGAATAAGTCAGGATTGCATCAAACGAAAGCTTAGATATAATGAGTTTGTTGTTACATCAGTGCTTATATGTAACTGGCACTAAATTCTACTGCTTGATGAGTTTTCACAGACAATGGGATAATGACCAAGAACTGTCTGTAGAGAATTTTTATGTAGATGGTGCTTTTGATAATGTTTTTGATTAGTAAAAAAGAAGTCTCCAGCCTGTAAGGACAGGAATAATAATTGCCAGTCTCAGATGTTTTATTGTGTGTGAATCAAGCTTCACTTATTCGCAAATACTGCATACTAACAGAACCCACTCCAAGAAAGTCTGAAAACAATCTAACGCTTTCCATTACTTTGAAATAAGCATGCACCTTATCTATTGATGACTAGATCTCCAAATAATAATCTCTCTCGACAAACTTCCAAAATAACCCCACCAAGTATGCAGACACTATAAGTTACAAAGCAAAAATATATTTTTGTATTAATAATTTTAAAAAAAACACTGCCATTCACAAAAAGGCAAAATGTTTTACACAGAACAGGGTTCGTACACATTTCCTTACATGAAAATTAAGGACTTTTAAGGACCATCAAAGAAAAAATTAAGGACCTATCAGCAAGCAAAAAAAAAGAATAGAATAAAGCAATTATCCATACAACTGACTTCATGCTTGTAATTTCACTTTAAGAAACTAACAGAAGTGTGTATTATGTACTATTATTAAATTCAATTTAATACTTACCATAAAACAATTTTGAAAATTAAACTAACTCCCTACAAGTTATGAAGTAGATAACATTAAATTAGAAACATAATTTCTTGAAAAACATGTATAAGTGTATTTTACACTAATAATGGTCACTATTTTAGAGATTTACATGATTATTATTTAACTTATTTGATATTTATTGAAACACAGTCAACTACTATAATAATCACAATGTAAGAATATTTTGCAGATTAAAATAACTGATTTTCCTTGGTTTTTTGAAAGATACTAGAATAATAAACTGTACAATAAAAGATACAAAACATTTGTGCTTTTTTTTTTAATCTGAAATCTTTTCAGCTATTTTAACATCTAATTTATTTATGTCTATTTCTTTTTCTTTAACTATTCTTCTAAGTTCATTTGCTTTGATAAACAAATCAATGTTCCTGCTGGTCTCAACTTCATCTGCTAAAGCATTTCTTCTTCATTAATACCTTTAATATCCCTTTGAAGAAATTTTTTCTTCTGCTTCACATAATCAATTTCTTCCTCAATAAATATTTCTTTTCCTCTTTGAATTTTCAAATTTAATTAAAGATTTTTGTTCTTCTAAATACTGCATACATTTAGACATTGCGGAAGCTGCTGCTGATCTCATTTCTTTATTAATTTCGATATTAAGAACACCTCCAGAAAATTTTATTTAATCAAATACTGTGCGTTGAAAAATGTATGATGTGTCACTTAAATTTTCAATTTCAATTGCTTTATTTACAGAGAAGCCCCTTTCCACAGAGGTTTGTCCATGTGACCAGATAAGAAAAAGTCCGAGATCCGGACATCCAATATCTGGAATGATCTAAAATCCGGACCAAGTCACCACCAACCAATTTTTTAGGGCTTTTTTGGAGGGAAGGGATTATGCTTTACGCATGCGCATTAGATTTTTTTCCTCATCATAAAAAAACATGTTCGAAATCCCGATTCTTAATCTCAGTTTGGAGCTAAATAAAATATCTCATTATTGAAGAAATAATTATTTTAGCATAAATTTGTGTGATTAGTAACTTGACTCCATAGCTGCGTACATGCTTGGCATAATATCAAATCGAAACATTTGTTAATTTTACACCAACTAATATTTTATATCCTTGATGCCGAAATCGCGAATCATTATTTATTGTATTTTGCTTTCATCACCGCATGTTTATCAATGGATGACAACTTGAGTGATGACTCATGCAGCGACGCCAAATAACAGAGTATTATCCAATTACAGATTTAAGTTTAATGCGCTAAAATGTTGACAAGGGGAGATTTAACAGAAATTTCTTTCCTTATGCTAAAAATAGATTTTGTTAATGATACTCTTAGGACAAACGATTATATTTAGTGCTATTTGAATTAAGAATAACTGATTTGTTATTCACACAAAGCCAGAACCAGCGCCAGAGCTCGCATGGCCGCACCAGGCGACATAATTTGGGGAAGTTAAACAGAATTTTTTCATTGCGATGACAATGCCCCAATCATCAATCAATTGACGGAGGGCGAAATCTGTAGTATGGTTCTAAATCCAGAAAATACACCTACCGATAGTGAAGAAAGTAACAGAGAGGTTACTGAACGAGAAAAATTTTGATTGACAAGTTATTCGGAATTCTCGACACAGCAATTACAGGACTTGAACAATGGAACTTAATAACTGAACAAGAAATTACATGTCTATAGTACAGTCAAAAGTCGTTAATTCAGACACCCATAATCCGGAATGATCTATAATCCGGACCTCAAAGCTACAAACTTTCTGCGCATGCGTTGCGTTCACGCATGCGCACAGGCGTTTACGAGAGCGCGTAAGACCCTTACGGCTGCGAATATGTTTGTGCGCATGCGCGTTTAATGTGTAACGGAGTTATACGCTAAGCTAAAGTTATCTAATTCAGTTAATGTTGCAGATTGCGTTGTTCCTTAATCTTCGAATTGGATCCGGCTTATTATTTTTTGCAGACTGTTAGAGCAATTTTATAAAAGTAAGCTTGAACTTTCGATTATGTCAAATAGAATTTCCGATATATATTTATTACAAAGCGAAAGTATGTTTTGAAATCCGAAATCTGTTTATCAATTTCGGGCAGAAACGTCATTATTAGATTATGATAGATTAGAAAGATTATATCAAATAGAATTTCCGATATATATTTACTAATATGTAATTTGTATCTACAAAGCGAAAGTATGTTTTGAAATCCGAAATCTGTTTATCAATTTCACGCCGCGGATTGGAAGTTAATCTGTCAGCACTATCCTTATCTTCAGGGCAGATGTTTTTATTTTATTTGGTTTATAATTCCGTACTAAGTGTAGTATTTCATCTCGATGTACTCTGTCTTTGATATGATTTAAATCAAGTTCCTCGTCATTATAATTCCTTTCTGATAGTGACTCAGAGGTTATTGAAAACGAAAACATTTCGATTGACAAATTAGTCGGTATTCTCAACACAGCAATTATAGGACTTGAACAGCGGAACTTTGTAACTAAACAAGAAATTATGTCTGTTTAATAGAATTAAAGAGAAAGTATTATAACATGAAACGAAGCAATTTACTTTGAAGGAAATGTTTAATAAAGTAAACAAATAAATATTAAGCTTTTTCTTTTTGTAAATTTTGATACCCTTTAGATCATAATTTTTCTTTATTTCATAAATTACGGTTTCATATTTTTAATTTAGTAATTTCTGCATGCCATCTTACCAGATTTAAACTGATGATCTATAATCCGGAAAAATCGATAATCCGGAATCGCCGAAGTCCCGAGGAGTCCGGATTAACGACTTTTGACTGTATTAGTCTAAAGTATTAGCAGAGAAAACAAACCAAACAACTCACATTGAAAGAAATGTTTAATAAAGTAAACATATAAATATTAAGCTCTTTACTTTTGTAAATTTTGATACCCTTTAAATCATAAATGCTTCATTATACAACATTTTATATTTAATATGGAATGTATATTTTCAGTTAAACTTCTACCCAATAACTTTAGTAATTCATGAAAGTTAATTTTGCATCTAGTTTATTCAGGAAAATTAGTTTCAATTAGTCGTTTTCAGTTTTAAAAATATTAAAAAATTTTTAATTAGTTAGTTGTTTTCAACTAATAATTGTATCGCCATTAGCAAAAATAATGCATTACTATCAACAGCATAGGATTAAACCAAATACTTAATTGTCTACTGAAGCTTCAAAATGTCACTTTTTCTCGGCTAGCGTTACCGAATTTGCCCTTGGCGACCTAAAAATGAAATGGAGCTAACACATTTCCTGCGAAATCGATAACAGACCCTCTGCAGAAATAAACTCATAATCCCGATATCCTATACATATAGTATGTGCAAAAGAGAATAAACTCCGTAGAAGGTGATAAAAAATTAATTTATGGCTTAATTGAAACAAACGCAGAAATTAAGCTAAGCAAAACCGTGTAAAAACAAATTGAAATGATAAAATGAAACTTAATTTTCATGTGAATTTTCAGCGCTGAAATCTAGAAATTTCAATTTGTTTCAGACAAAGACCACATTTAGCTTTATAAAGGATTGTCATCCATCAATATCCAGTCTTTGTAGTCAGCTTGATGAAGCCACAGTTTATTGAAAATGCACTTTCCAGGCATCTCGTTCCTATTGGCGTCGGAAGGGTTGTGGCCTTCCAGGTTGGAACTTGCTCTAATTTTGGCAAATATTTTCAGAATCCCCCACCCTTTTTTTTCTCGAGCACCTTCATCATCACTTTCACTTTCGCCTCTTAAAGAACTTCCGGCTTCACGCTTTCGTCACAATCTGCCTAAATTTATGGATAACACCTGTTTCGAAAGATTGGGTGAATAGCCAATCAGACACCGATACTTTCGTTCGGGTAGCTAATTATTTTTTTTTTTTTTTTTTAATTGTTTGCAACGCAAATCCGCCAACAGGTTGGTTAAGAGCCGCGTAATTTTAATTCTCCATATTCATGAGAAATCGCAATTCACACTTAGAATGGCAATCATTAGAAATGATAAGAAATGTCAAATAAGCAAAATTAAGGACCGTTTATTAATTTTGGCCAAAATTAAGGACTTTTAAGGACCAAAAATCATTTTTGACAAAATTAAGGACTTTTAAGGACCATACGAACCCTGACAGAATCATCATCAGAATTAAGTGTAAAATATGCTGCTATAATTTTACTGAATTTGAAATAGATGTAATATAATACAATCCCTTTTGGTGGCTTTTTTGCTCAATGATTTAAAAGTCATCATTTATATCGTGTCAAAATGTGTCCATAAGAATTGAAAAATATGCACAGAAATAAGTTACATACAGGTTAACATCCAAAAGAACAGAAAACATGAAATTAATTACCAAAAACAGTGGTTATATTAATTCCAGTCATTAAACATACAAAACAGGCATAAAATAATGTTCTTGATTAAATATGAAATATCCGATTAGAAGTAAACTATTTTGGTTAAATATATATTGTATGAACTTTAATCATGGTAATTTAGGTCAATAAAATAACCCAATGGTATGCTTTATTAACATGAAATAAGAATTGACGATTATTATTTTGGCATCTGCAAGATCATTGCTTTTTGATTTGGACAATGTTTTTAACATTAAAAACAAAAACATTTGTTGCGCCCAGTGACAAAATAAAGAATAAATGGCAGAATTATCAACATTTCAAACAGAAAACTCGGAATAAAATACCTTTTATTACTGAACTTCATTTTTATACTTAGCCTCAAAATTTAAATAAAAATCATTAAACAGCATAGTTATATTTAAAAGAAAAAATTAATTTACCTGTCTAGGAATGTATTTGCCATTTTCTCTTAATAATCGGCTACGAATAATAGCTTGACTGCAATGAAATTATCAGTATTAAAACCACAATAATTTCATAAATAAAAAAGGAAACCAAAATGAAAAAGATTTGCTTTTAATGAAAACATTATGAATGTAATGAACCTAAATAACAATACAAAAAACTTCACTTTACTGAATGTCAGTATTTTCTTGTTAAAGCAACCAGAGCATATTATCACCAAAACTGGAAAATTTAATCCCCCTTTTGTCACCCTCAAATTTTAAATACTGCAGACTTATGTGGTGGCTGCTTTTGCTTTAATAAGGAAATACCTTAATTTCATACTATAACTTTTAGATAAAAAAATTTGAAAATATCATACATAGAATAACATACTTTAAAATATTTTGACCTTCAAATCTTTGACAAGTTATTAATTATAATTCTCATACTATCTTCAACGTTGGCTTTAAAAACTGTCTACAGTATCAATAACACTAATTGTTATAAACTGGTAATAGCTTTCCCTCTTTTTGAACAAATCTTGATTCTAGTGGTTTCCTAGAAAGAATGAAGGCATTTAAGTTAATTTAAATTTTGAAGGTTGTATGTCTAAAAATTATTACTGTTAACTGTTGTATTAGTTACCTATGTAAAATAGGTACTTCCTAATTATTACGGCTCCCGTTCTTCAAATACCAGGTGGAAGGATTTATCACTATGTTTATGCTTACTTCTCGCATACATTTTATAGTTGCCATATTTCTGTCTTGCTTAACATGGAATAAGAAGAAAATATTACTTTCAATGTGGAATAAGAAGCTTTTCCTCAAACCAAGGGCTTTCACCATATGAACTCCACCAGGTAAGATTAACGATGATGACGAACTGTGCCTTCTTGATTTTTATTTCGTGGCATGCAACAGCTTTTCAAGATTCTATATACGAGGAGTAGCTCTTACATTTAAAAAAATGAAATTTATACTCCACAGTACAATGTCCTTTTCAGTTCTGTTTTATATGCTCACCAACAGTGTGGATAAATCAATGATCTTGCTGGCTCATGATTGACACTTTTTGTCATGAATGTGGCTGCGTACCTATACGGAACCTGAGCAAGAAACAATTCGCTTATTTCTCGATATGATCCACCAAAGTCCAAAATTGTAAGAAAACTGCCAGTTTTATTTCTTCCCTGTATAAACAGAGATACTTATGTATTAAAGCAAAACCATCTCAGTAAAAGTTCCCAAATTTTCAGAATGTGCCAAACTCTGGCAGCCATGCTCATAATAATCCTTCAGTCAAGCAATGCTACCATCTTCATATGCATTCTTTTTTGTTGCATTCAAAGTTCCAATAATTTTTATAAACAAATCATGATTTTATATGATATTTAAAACTTAGTTCTTAACAAATAGGAACTTGTATAATTCCAGCAATGGAAAAAACTGCAATACAATTTCTACAGGATTACAGAATTTGCTGAAAATATTCTAAAGGGAATAACAAAGAAATGCAATTCCTAGATAGCCACTGCTACCAAGGGTTGCATGAAGCCAAGTCTCCGCAATTCTCTGATATTTTTTTTAATGAAAACATACCATTGTATATTTTAGGAGCAGAATAGCACAAAAAAATTACAAAAAGATTTGAATTAGAATTTAAGAGTTTTATTCTTTCAATATATCATGTAATCCTTACTTAATATTTCAAATAAATATTTTACGAGGGTTAAAACTTTAATAATGGCAACACAGCTGAAAAAACGCTACGCAACAAAACCAAAGAATACCGCGTATACCACACGTGAACTACATACCTACCTTACACCTCTCAGCAAAAAGACTTGTCCTGCCTACGTCATGCGCATGCGGAGTGACGTGAAGAATGGATCCTTGTGTTAGCTCGCAGTCTAAAGTAAGTGTTGTCAGGATGTTTTCAAAACAAGAACAACGAATGTTGGATAAAAATTGAATGTGCCAGAGGTCGTACAGCATGACAGTGTCATCAAGGGCTTCAAGAGGCTTGCGGGGAATCTGCATTGCCTTACAGAACGGTAGCAAGATGGGTGAAAGCATTCAATGAAGGACGCCAAAATGTGGCAGACATGCTGCGGCCAGGTCATCCGAGTGTCAGCGATGCAGATGTGCAAGCTGTTCCCGCACTAATGGACAGTGATCGCCGCCAAACGATTCATCAGCTGGCCGGACAAACAGGATTAGCGCATACAACTGTGCTGCACATTCTGAAGGAACGCCTGTCCATGAGAAAAATTGCTTCACGATGGGTTCCACATCAATTGACGGAAATGCAGAAATGGCTACAATACGATGCTGTCCGAACCCACCTGGAGCGCTATGAGCGCGAAGGAGATGCATTTTACGCCGTATCATTATGCTGGATGAGACTTGGGCCCGATCGTACCAGCCAGAACTGAAACGCCAATCAAACGAATGGCGTCATCACGGGTCACCACGACGTTCGAAATTTCATCAGAACCCCAGCAATGTGAAAGTTATGGTGATTCTCGTGCACGACTGTGATGGTGTCATCCTAACGCATACCGTTCCCCCACAGCAGACCATCACTGCGCAGTATTACTGCTCATTTTTGGAGCACAATCTCCGACCAGCTTTGAGAAAAAAACAGCGACATTTTCTGCAGAACGCTCCTCTCATTTTGCATGACAATGCTCGGCTGCATGCAGCACAAGCTGTGACTGATTTGTTCAAGCGATGAGGCTGGAAAGTGCTTTACCATCCACCATACTCCCCAGATCTAAGCCCTTGTGACTATGACTTAATTCCTAAGATGAAGGGACCACTTCGTGGCACTCGCTTCCAAACTGTTCCTGAGATTCTTGCAGCAGTAGACCGGTCCATTCCAACTATCAACAAAACAGGCGCTGCTACAGGTATTCTGCGACTTCCACATCTTTGGAAACGGGTTGTACACAATGCTGGCGACTATATTGAAGGACTGTAAAACATGGTGTCATGAATCACTTTTGTATTCCTTGTAAATAAATAGTTGACACTATTAAAGTTCCAACCCTCGTAAATAGCTAAAGGTTTTTTTTTTTTTTTTTTTTTTTGTATATAATGTTTACCAACTTGCAATAAATATTGTTACAAATTTTATATGCACGTTAATAATTTTAGCAAAATCGTAATATCTTTTGTATAACGTAAAATGAAACGTAAAAAGAGACTGAAACTGTGCTGGAAAAATAAGATTACAGGGGCAAGTCTATTTAACATTGAAATAAATGGTTATCTCGATAAATTGGCAAGATACTGCCAAGCTGGCAATGGTTTTGGCAACTAATTTTTGTTGCCAAATTTGGCGACCATTTGTCCAGTTGCTATATAACTGTGATTGATTCCTATGTGTAACCACATCTGGCTCTTGTATGTAACTTTGACTGTATACGCCTTCCAGCAATTTTGAAAAATGCAGGGTACTAGAGATTTCTCAGCAGTCTAGGGGAAAATGTATAAGACCAAGTTCTCAGGTGATTGTTTAGAATCGATTTCAGAGTATTGAGAGATCTCTATGTGAGCTTCACCTTTTAGATGAGCTTTCAATACACTGTGTTTAACATTCTTAACCACTTGCGCTACGACTAAACTTCACGGTTGTGGTGTCGTGCCTTACAATGTAACAAGCAGTAAAGTGTGTCATTTACGCCGCTCCGCGTCTGCGAGTGCAATCCAAAGCTGTAACTCAAGAAATAAACAATCTCATTGTTAGGTGATGTGTGCACCACATTATTTTCATTTTTGCAATAAATGCCTATCGACGTAGTGTTCACGTCTCTCGCGGTTTGAAACAAAAGCATCTCGACATGTTTGGCATGTCTTTTTAGCACAAGTAGTTAATAGTTCGAAGTCTTTACATCTGCAAACAGAGGGGCATGGTAAAGAGGTTTAATTGAACTGTCTTCAACAATCTCTCGCTGATGCTTTTCTGAAACCAATTTGATTGGAACCAGAAGTTACCCTTGTTCTTTCTGGCCAATTGTAGTGCTGTCCACGAGACTACAGGCTATTCCCCATCTCAGACGCCCTTCATCTGCCTTGAATGTTTTTTTATAACACAGTTCTTCATTTGCATGCATATTTATTTTTTCAATCAAAACTGCTTCAAGAGTTTTAAGACCTAAATTTGGTCGAAATTCCGTCTGATTTTTTTTAACAATAGAAAAAATTCTTTCGCAAGCTGCATTTGAATGAGGTATTATTAAGACAGCAAGCATTACAGAAGGCAATACTTTGTATTTAATACACCCATTCATATTTTTTAATTTGGCAATTTCTCCCCATGCTATATCAATACGCAAATCTACAATTTTTTCAAATCATCTACTTGATACATGGAAAATTCAATTTCTACTTGATTAAGACATTTTTCATCAATAATGGATGGAAAAGTATTCATCACGTAAAGAACAGATGAAAATGAGACTTCAGTTCTCAAGTTGATGTCAGCAACTTCAGCATGTTTTAGAAATGGATCACTCAGTGGAAATTTATCAATTATATATGAACATGCAGTTTACAAAAAAAGCTCGCACAGAATTGAAAAATGATTTCACTTCACTTTCATTCAACTTGGGCATTTTTTAAATATAGTCTTGTTTCCGCACCAATCACTAATTTTCATTTTCTTTTTGTTACATACTTCTGAAAATGGAATAGACGTTAGAGTAACATCTTCATTTTCTTTAGAAATTACTGATGGTTTACGAATCTAACAATAAATTCATTAAAAGCTCAAAAAGTTCTCTTCTCAATTTATGTATATAAGGAGCTTGTTGTTGCAAATTATATTTACTGTTATAAACAAAGGCAAAGTATTTTTCAAAAATAACAGTACAATTTGGTGGTCGGTGACTGTAAAATTTTTTTAATGTTTTGCAATATCTTTCCTTCCTTCATTCTCACTGTTATCTGGATTATCTCCAAAAAAATTTATCACAGCATCCCACTGTTCCAAAATCCTTGTTATAGATTCTAAAAGAGACAAACATCTCGTACTGCAATATTTCA